GTCTAAGAACAAGCAATTCAACTTTTTATTCCCAAGATCGGGGAAGGGGGGGGGGCGGGAACCTCACACTCAAAGTATCTTACAAAAAGACATTTCTACATGCATGCGTTCTCACCTACTACTTAAAAAGCACCTACACAATTAAGAAAGCATGCAACACCTCCAAAATAAAGTAATTATGTTGAATGCATGTTCCCAAATTGGACTTACTTATTCTGCATTTGTATAGACTCTACCTATCCCATAAAACCAGAAATAGATTCATTCTGGCTTCTTAAATAATGTCTAGAGCCAATGCGCTAAAGAAGTTCACTTTATTTTTGATCAGTGTAGAGTCAATACCTTCAATATAAATGGACAAGGCATACACTTCATACTTGAATCAAAAGATCAAACAATCTAACTGCATTATAACCTCTATCCTGCTACAAATACAACATCCTTCAGGGACTGAAGTCTGAAATGCATTTTACAAAAGCAGCAGTTACCAAAACACTACCACAACTTACTATATCTTCTACAAATTGGGAGGGATTCCAAATCCACAAAGATCGAAGTTATTTCCTAATCCTTAAATAATGAACTGACAACACACCCCTTTTTCATTCACAGTAACTCTCAAAGCTCCCCATACATACCTTTAAATTGTAACTACAGATCATTATGTGTGCCTGAAATCAGCACATACTCGTTTTAAGAAGTGCATTCTTAAACCGACCAACTAAACTGACTACCTGAAACTGAGTCAGAAGTACAGACAGCAATCAAGTCAGATCTCCATTACAATGAAGACCTCATTATTCATTCTTGTTTCACAGCGAGAGGAATACAGGTATAGCCAAGGCAAATAATGTCACTGCCAACTTAGGAAGGCAGTCTGTTTCAGTAGTCTGTATTTAAGAGCTAACATTAATTGAAGACTGAATTAATTGCATTAATTAGGTAAGTTTCTTCGGACACTAGTAAGAAACAGGTGCTAAACCAGACAAAACCCCTTATACTTCCACCCACTCCAGGCTGCAGGGATTTTCTTTTGTCATTGCTAATGCTAACATTCCTTTATTTTGTCATATCTCAAGGACAGCCTAATACCATCTCTCCACTATTACGCATACCTTCAGCCTACAGTTTCCAATCAGCACATTTCATCTCCAAGAAAAAAAATGTCATGGCACATGCAGGAAATTCACCAAATTTTCATTTCCAGCCAAAGATGCTCATTCGAGAACTAAAGGCTTAATTCTACAAGTCAACTGACAGCAACAATTTAAGCACCCTTCTGGATATAAGAACAGATGAGGGCTTGAAATAGCGAGGAAAATAAGGTTAATTGATAGCATGTCTGTTATTCTTCACGGGGAAGGACTAGTAAATACTACCTGAGGCCAAATTGCAAGAGCCTAAGAAAAAAACATTCACATAGCTTTTAGATTTTTGATCATTACTACAATAGAGATGAAACCAAACAAGTGTGATTTGTCAGTAGATCCACTGGCCTTTTTATTGAGATACCTCTTTTAAAAAATATATATTTTAAAGTATTTTAGATATTCTGCAATCAACTACTAAAATATATACATACCCTACAAAAGAATAATGGTGGACAAAATGGGCATAATTTCCAAAATACTTTTATAAAAGTTACATAGGATAGATAACAAAAGGAATTTTCACTCGAAGCCAATGTTTAAGAGCTTTGTTCTACTTCAAATGAAGATAAGCAAGTCTGTATAGATTTGCTTGTAAATATATACCTAACTGCCTGTTTTAAATATTAGAATTATCTCCTTGATTTTAGTGTTTTAGCACAGTAAATGACCATGAACTTCCAAGCACCATACTGAATTACCTGGACCATGAAATAAAAACATATCAGTTAGACTTCAGTGAAAAAAATCAGATCCTCTCTTTTGCATAGAACATCTTTTGGTGCTAGTTTCATGCATTAAAAAATTTAAGTATCATGAAATCATGCACAGGATTTTTAGCTGTTCCACACACCACATAACTCATGCAACAACATACTGCATCTGCCAACTTTCTTCTCTCAGTATAATTGAGTTGTTCATACAAGCAAAAAAGCACCTTTTCAGAAATTCATGCCTTTGTAATCACTAGTTAAGTATTTACAATTTCTATAACATACAAGATACAAAATTATCAAACAAAACACATGACAGCATTCTTTTGAATAGAAGTCTTTCTAGCAATAGATTTACAAGGAAGCATGGAAGCGCTGGAATAATTAAATTTTACTACCATTCATATGGTTAACACAGCCTGGATTGACAACTGACTATTGGTAATTTATCAGCTGGTAATAAATGGTGGTGGTGGTGTAGGGAATGAATATTTGAACCGAGGACATTATTGAAGAGCTAACAAGAAAGTGAAGGTGAAAAAGGCTTAAAAAGTTCACATAGGTAGACTGCACAGCACCAAGAAATTAATGACAAACTGAAGTAGGTGCTCAGAAACAGAAGCACATCCTGGAAAACTGCCACTGAAAATACAAGTAGGCAAGACTATTAAGAACTATTTCACTATTCAGCAATTTATGCCTCTGCATATTTTAACATCACACAAATAGCCCCTGAATGTATTTGTAATGATTTTCCTTTGTACAAGTATTCTGCGCAGCTTTTAATCTTTAAGGCACTTCATACATTAATGTATGTAACATTACTAATTAATAATGTTGTGTATTCAACGCTGATTAATAATTTTTAAATTAGGCAATATGAGTATTCAGGGCCAAATAAAAGTCCCTTTGTTGTACATAATTAGAATCTGACATGGTCAAAAACAAACACACAACCCTGTTATAAATGGTTTGCATTTGGAACCACACGACATTTCATTCCAGTATCTTTGAAGTATTCCGGGAAGCAGAAATTAACTAGAAGTATCAAAAAGTATCCAGTTGTGACAAACTATTATTTTAACAACCTCTTCATCAGACTCAGCATGCATATAGCAGCAGTTGATACAGAAACAAACCTCTGCGGAAAGAGTCCAACTTTATTGAAAGCTCAATTTAAATATGAATAAGACTTCTCTAGGTTTTATAAACTAAAAATCAGATATATGGAGTAGTTTTATGCTTGATCAACAGTCAATATAACTAAGAATGAAAAACAAAAATCAAACATAAGACTTAAGTGGTGCGGTGATAAACTGTTACATTCCAATTTAATGAGAAAAGATTTAATAAACCTTGACAGAACAGAAAATCTCATGGAGATGGGGAAAGAAACAGTAACCAGAGCAAAGCTATCAGGACAAGGGTAGAATCTCCCATTGAAAAAGTGATACTTCCTTTTGCATAAAATTTTTTACTTGAAATTATAGTAAGTGTAAAAGAGAATGCTAATTGTTTAGATAGAAAATCAGTAATTCCTAGAGGTAGAATGCATTTTTGCTTTAGAAGAGCCCCAAGAAAATGGTGAAAATAAAATTCGAAACCAGTGAAAACGAGAAAAAAAAAACAGTAATCGTCTTTTATGTATAATTAACAGCATTTGCAGGAGATAGACTGGAATAGATAATTAGTCTGTTAGATCTGTTTTCGTATAAAGAGGAACTAAAGATTTTAGGAGAATAACCGGTTTATTTCTCCCCTCCAACCCTTCTCCCTCCTTTGTGAACAGGACTTCTGGTTAAAATAACTGCTAAGAGTAATAGAGGGCTCAACAAAAACTGCATCAGAACACAAGCAGTAAATATGTACCTGTATTTCCTTCCTAGAAAAACAGGGTAGCAAATCTGGGTGTAATGGCTGACCTTGTTCATGACACTAACTAGCTGCTGACAGACAAGAACTTTAATGTGGTGTGGATTTGCCTGTACTCAAAGGATTACAAACACAGCTATAAGGGTGAAGAATATTATGTGTTTCCCCATCCTATTACGACCACATTCAATAAAAAAAAAGGGCACCAAGTGCAAAACAGAATGCTTATGAGAATTAAGCAATTAACTCACAGGATGAAATCACAAATTGAAGGTTCACAAGGGGAAAAAAAAAATAGAAGAGCTTACACGTATATAGAAACTTACTAGTGAACTTCATTAAATTTAAAAAAAATTAAGCTTCATCATCCCTGTTAAACCATACGTTCTACTGACTTGCACACAAGACAGATGACTCCCCTCCAGCACACTGGAATTTTGTGACTTCCATTTAGACATTCAAGGACCTTAACAGTGACCTCAAGACTACAGCAATTCAGTAAAAAAGAACAAAAACCCACAAACAGTGGGCACCCGCACCCCCCCCCAAAAAAAAAAAAAAAAACACAACCAAACACAAACCCAAAACAACAGCTTAGGATGGAGAAACATGGGGAAATTATACTAAGTTTTTCTATACCATTGAACCCCTCCCCATCAAATGTTTTCCAAAGAAAAATAGTAGAGATGCAATCTGTCTTCAAAGTTAGTAACTAACAACAAAAGCATTCAAAGTTAAAAAACAAATGTTCTTATATTTGATTAGGTATGTTTCTAAGATACTACTATTACTGCTTTGTCAACTCAAAAGACAGAAATGTTCCAGAGTAACCTATAGCAGAAAGGCAGGTCTTTAGAATAAGAACTCTACCTGAATGAATCTCAGAGAGTCAAGCTTCTGGATTTGAGCAATGAAACAGTAAAGAAGTGAACATGCATCAAGTATGGCAAAAAACTAATGTTGATTAGTAGAAGAAATGAAAGACACGTGAACAAATCTAAGTTAAACCAGCATGAACTATAATTAAGTATACACATAAACAGCCACTTGCATTTCTAGCAAAATGCAAAATCACAGTAGGTTACAATATATACATGCCAAACAAAATGAAAGAGAAGATATCATATTGCACAATTAGGACAACTAACTAGAAACTATATGCAAAGCATGCCAAAAAGCACCTTCTGAAAGCTTAGAGAAATAGAAGCTTTTTAGAGTCACAGCCTACCATGCTGATACTTTGGCCAGAGAAGTTGAATTTGCTTACCTCCTGTAAAAGATCTGCCTGTTCAATGGCTTTGAGAACATTTTTCTTGGAAGTCTCCTGAACTTCCCCTCCTAAAAGGAACTCATCCAGAATGAAATAGGCTTTTTCAAAATTGAAGATGATATCAAGTTCACATACCTAAAAAGAACATCAAACATTATTGCAAAAAGGGAGAATACTATCTGTTGAGGTATATCCTCTCACAAAACTTAACTTGCTAACAGCTTCAGCAAACCTCACCAAATCAAGATGTTTGCCTCAGGCTATAACGTTCTAAGAAATTGGGCAAGAAAAAAATCAAGCCCTCCGAGGAAAAAAATAAGTTAATTTTTTTTTTTGGAGTTAAACAGTTACAGCAACCTCTTTGAAAAATATTCTCATTGTTAGAAAGAGTTCAATTCACAAGTGTCAGTATGGTGTGGCTCTTCATAAGGCAAGAGAATATCCCTGTAGAAGTTTTGCTCTTGCCTGCAGTATCCAAAAGCAGATCATGCAATCTTGTAGAAAAATGTTGAAACACAATCATCTCAAACGTCTTATTCATCCTGTGCATTTCCTAGTCAGAAGGACTAGGAAGGTAAAAGGAAGAGCAGCAGTTTTTCCAAGAGTGCTAATGTACATTACTACAGTTTGTGTTTGCTATCTGGGTAAGCAGATGTCTGTCTTTTCTTTCCTTACCACTTCTGCTAGTTCACAACCAACTGCCTCCTTCAGAAACAGATGTAAGAAGTGCTCACATGCTAGTGCAGTGTCAGGGAGAAAGAAAGCTGAGTGCCTGGACAGAAAGCTAAGGATAAGAGACCTCAAGTGAGACTACTACAAAATGAAATAAATGCAGGCAATTAACACCAGATTAATAACAGTTCTTCTCCCAAATTAATAATTTATTTTTGTATTTTAACAGTTATGTAGGCAAACATCAGTTTAGTTTGGCCAAGCAAGAAACATAAAATGTGCTAGATGCACCTTTACAACAGCTAGTTGATTATGTTTTTTAAAAGTGACATAATATAAAGAGACTGTGAATCTATAAAAATTAAAAAGAAATTACTAACTTACACTGCCAAAATACTTGTCAAGAAGTTCTACATAGCGATGAATGATTTCCAGAGTTATTAGTTCATTGTCCTGATCTTCAATAGCACAGCAGAAATAGAGGCTTGCATACCTGTAGTAACAAAATAATCCTGATGTTAGCATAAGAACATAAGCAAAATTAATGCACTTGAGATGTACTACGTTCCCAGTAGTCCTTCATGCTCAGGTTTAGCATACTGTTACTCTAAATCAACATCCATGCAAGTTCTGCCAAAGAATGGCTGAAAGACCACTAGACATATGCAAGTACCATAGGGATCTGCCTCCTTGAGTCAACGAAGACTTCAGTCTTTACCATCATTTAGCTGACAGAATTAAATTAGCCTAAGAGATGGCTGGAAAACAAAATGTATTTCATTTTTTGGCCTCCTGGCAGAGTACTGAGGCAAGGTATTTTACCTACTATCTGTAACACCCAAACACTGGTCTACTAATCAACAGATTCCATCTTAAATTTTTATCACATGAGCTACACACACAGAGTTTAAAAAATTATAGAAAATGCTTTGGGGAAGATGCATTGAATTAGCAATTAGGATTTGGTCTTTATAGAGAATTTAACAAATGCCAAAAAAACCTCCAAAACTAACTATACTGTCATATACCCCAATTGCTATTAAGTCAGCAACTCACTACCAACTGTCCTGGTATCAGACTAATGAGAGGCCATCAGCTAGCAATCCACTTCCATTGTGGAAGACAGGGAATTCTGATATGATCTTGAGTTCCAATTTAACAAAAAGACCATCCAATTCTACCATGCTTTACCTTATACTTGTTCAAGTCATGTTTTGAAAAGCTGATGCAAAAACAAAACAGGAATGAAAGCTGAAAAACCCATTTAGTCTTTTCTAAAGTGCCAAAGCCATACGCTATACAGACACACATAGCACAAATGAGATTTCAAGTAACACCTGTTGTAACTGATTATTTATATGAACCAGAAACAGCTTTTGTTTGCCTGTTTAGAGAGGACAACTGGCCACATTAAACACTGAGTAACCAGCCTTATTTAAAAAAAGAAGTCATTCAGATGTGAACGCCAACTTTAAGATGCATATTTGTTTCCCATACACTGAAACAATACACCTTTTAAGTGTTACGCATATTTTATCAGCTGGGTCTTTGTAAGCCCCCAAAGAAACTGTCAGGGTTTTTGGCTAGAAGTCCTGAAAAAAAAAAAAAAGGTTGTATTTTGTAGTATGTTCAAATTTGTCTCCCAACCACTCACTTGGCATCATTTATGACCTAAAAGTTCCCCTACTCTGCTCTAGCTAAGTCAAATTGCTATGGCTTCAGCATGAACAATTAATCAGAATAACTGGTATGCAAGTTTTAAACTATTATATAAAAAACATCCTACCAGAAAATTATTGGGGGGTGGGGGGGCAGGGGGAAGAGGAAAATGCCTCTGTTGAAGCACTTAACACTTTAATTCCCTTGCTCTTTCATCTCTACCACTTGTCAGCTCGTCAGAAGTCCTATCTGAGCACAGGTCTTTCGATTTTACACTGTTATGTCTGTGCCTCCCTAATTTTTCAAGGACATTTGCAGTCATTGTAGCAGCCTGCAAGACTCAATCTGTATAAGGCATCTTTTGGATAAAATTATTTCAAAAAAAATACTGGAAAGTGATACTATAAAGAAACAACATGTTTTCAAATCTACTGAGAAATTTCTAAATCAAACTCCATGTTTCCGTATTTCACCGTAGAAAAAAAGAGCTTTGGCACATTAGTTCACATTTACACTAATTACCAGCACTCAGGCCAAATCCATCTAAACAAACGTTTCATCATATTCAGATGAGCAGCACTGATTTTGAAGTGTAGTTAAACTGTTCCGTTACAGTGCTTAAACACATGTTGAATCACATACTAGCAGACCTTATCAAAGCAAGTTTGACTCATATTTTAAATGTACCCACATGGGACAGTCCTTTTGTTCTTCCCTATTACTTAAGGGTCTCTTGATGCACAGAGCTTTTTATGCAAATACCCACTAAGGGAAGGCGGGGTGGGGCCAGAGGAGATAAGGAGACTACCTAACAAAATACTTTCCCAGAAGGTGGTCTGGTCTCAGGGTCCTGATTTTAAAATAAAACCTAACGTTCTTGTCAAAGACTTTATTTGGCAGCTAGTGAGTAACTACACACTAAGCTCTGCCAACTGCAGTACTGGAAAAAGAATACCAAGAAACAAACACTACTCAGCAGCATCTTAAAACAAAATGGAGGCCTGGGTATCTATTGTTATATGCAGAGAATATTTTAAGTATTTTTTAAGTAGCAGTAGTGACTAAATGGATCACTACTCAAAAGAAAACAAATGTAGATTCAATAAGCCTACATGGCAAATAGTGGAAGAGTATACACAAATCAGTCATCATTGCAAAGGGCATGATTATACAAAGGTACACTTTTCTTCAGACCCAAATTCACAAAGACAATAGTTCATTGTAATTTTTTTTTTCTCTGCAGCCCAGGGCTTCAGAACAGTCTCCACATATAGTCTACGGAAGATAAACAAAAGGTTTTGCCAAGTGTAAAAGCTTACACACAGAATGTCCATATAAAGATGAGTAGATTACTGTACTTTGCTGAAAAAGATTTCTGCTTTGCAGCAGCATTGTTTCTTCCTAATGAGCCTGACAGAAGCCTGTCTTTCATATGTATCCAATGAAAAGGCAAATCCTGATAGTAAAGTATTCCACACCACACAAAAGCAAACGGTAGTGCAGGGTGTAAGAAACAATCTGCCCTTTTTATTCCTATTGCAATTGTGTGTGTGGAGGTTTATCAGTAGACATTATTTGCAGAATCTTCAGACACAACTCAGCTGCTTATACTCATTTATGCGAGTATTTTATGATAAATATCCTCCACTTATCAAAAAGGGGACCAAAACCAGAGAGACCAAAAACATTTTGGAAAAATCACCTGAAAATGTAATATGGAATAAAAGATCACAAAAAGAAACACAGGTGGTATAAATACTTATACAAATGCCTGCCTTCAGATAGATGACCTTAGGGGGTTTTTTGATAGGAAATAAATTAATGAACCTCCTCCTCAAGCAGTTGCAATAGTTCAGCACTGGGAAGCCTCACAACCGGCAGGCAACGCTTCAGCAGAGTTCTCTACTACTCTGCTCACAGCCAGGTTCAGTAACTGCTGGGAGATCCCAGCGCTGCGGGCAGAGCGTAACTTGCAAACCCTACCAGTTCAATGGTGTTCTCCTACTAGACGACCAAACATCTGCTTGAGGGCATCCCTGGAAGTCTAGCATCAGGTAAAGCTGCAAGCAAGCCATAAGTCTATCTGCATCCAAGTCAATTTGCATGAAGATCCTAATTGCAGAAATTTAAACCTTACAGAGTTTGGCAGGAGCAGACTTGAACTGCAAATGACAACCAAGCTGCCTTTAAGAGACAAATGGGTGCTTAAGGTAGCCCAAGAATCTATGGTTTGGTGATAGCTGACCCAGTGAAAACCAGGATCTCTAAAAAGCTGTGCTTGGAAAAAGATTTTTTTTTTCTCCTCCAAAAAACTTGCACATTTCTTTAATAAAACAAGAAGTTCTGAGACTCTAGGACAGGCTGATCAATCACTATTCAGTCAAGGATACAGAAATCAACAAAAATAACACATTCAACTTAAGTTAAGCATTTCTTTTATAGTTTCTGATTTCAGCAAGGGTATGCCCCCTTTTCCTCCCCCAGTAGTTTTAGAAATGAACAAAAGCTTGGTACTGGTAATCCTCTAAGAAAAATCTGCTGCTTCTTGATGCTGAGGTCCTCCCAGTGCCACATGAAAGAGTCCTGTATAAAGGTTAAAATAATCAAACCCAAGTACCCAATTCACTATAATCACTGCATTCAGTCAGTTTTACAGAGACACCTAATCAACACCATAGTAACATTTTTAACAGATACAACTTGCAGCTAAGATGTACATAAAGACAGTAATCATGTCAACTGCTGGGCACACATTACTAGCCACATGACTTCACCTTAGGTTCACAATACTTTGAGCTAAGGGGCACACTACATGCAGAATGGGCTTTCATTGTTTCTTGGGGGGGGGGGGGATGGTAAAAAAAGTTTTAAAACTTTTTTTTTGTAAGTCTTTAACATTAACATAAAATAAGCATAATCATAGGTTAAGTAAAATATGATTGCCACAACATTAAGGGCAGCACAAGCTATGACAATTTTATAACTTTATACTATAAATACAGTTCCAAACTTACACATAAAAGCAAAGCCACGATCCTTAATTAAATTACCAATCAACAATAACCAAATCCCATGATCTCAGTTAATCAAATTCTAACAAAGTAAAATTTAGATAAAAATCAGTTATTCTGCAATTTCTGATTTTGACTGCAATATACTACACAATGAAAATAACTCATACTGCTAGAAGCTAAAACAGTAAGCAGGCTGAGATCTTAAAAAAAGAAATAATCATCACATCCTATCTTAAGTTCCTTTTTCTAGTGAAATTAGAAATGTTAACATTTAAAACACCTCTGCCACAAGGTGAAAGGTACATGAACCTCTACCCTATTTGCTCCAATACCACTACATTTAGTTTTTAAAAATGACAAAACATGAAGAGCGATCATTGTGTTTGCTAAGTTTCTCATCAGCCGTCTGCAGAGGACTCCCTCCCTATTTTCATAAAGTGCAATTGTTGTTCGCTTCCTGTATTTAAATACTTTTATTTCCAGCAAGTCATTTCAAATCTCTATTTGTCTCAAAATTAGAAGCTCACATCCTTTTGATCTTCTGGTATCTACCAGCCTAAAAAACTCTCTTCCAAACCAGCTACAGAATACATACACCCCAATTCATGAACCATGGCAAAAGCAGGGCACATTTCCACCTGTGTTGTGTAGCACTAAAGAAAAAATACAGCAGCAACAGCTGACCCTATTTTGCAACGATTATCAATGCTACATGTATGAAACCAAGGAAAATAGAAGTTAGTCACACACGTTCATACAGATTTCAAAATACTTAGTTCTGCTTTCTTGAAGTTTCATTCAGAAAGCATCTTATAAGGATGAAATGCTACACAGCTAAGGAGGCTAATCAAAATAGTCCAGCTTTCTTGATATATGTTAAGTATCAGAAGGAAGCAAAAAATACTGGCTTGCCAATTCTGCATTTGAGTTCATTCTGTTCTTGCAAAAAAGGTACATCAAGAAGACCCTTGAGTATACGTCCACTAATGGCAACCATTTTTTGAGGTGCAATATCTAGGTCAATTCTCTCTTACATGTTGACAGTAAATGCACTCTTAAAAACAAGCACAGCATATCAATTTCAGCAATTTAAGACTCGTAATAGCAATATGCACACACAACATGTACAATAGCACTATGCACACACTTTTATAGCTTATATTGAAAAACATTTGCACCAGGAGGTTCAGATCCTTCCCAGCAATAGATCAGAAAAGAACCGATCTTAGTAGAGATGCCGAAGAGCATTTTGTCTGTGAGCAACTGAGAGCGCCTTTTGCAATTTCACAAATGATGCAAAGTTCCTGCAGGTGTATTTCTCTTTTAGCCACTCACCTTTCAGAAAGTATTTAACTTCAACTGTTGTGGTTGTCATTTTGGGATTATCTACTTTTGAGCTATAACAGATTTCCCATTTCAAAGAAATCACACTAGTTGGTACTCATCAACTTTAATTACAGTGTGATGATTGGAAAAAGTCCCACAAACCTAAAAGCTGTTACTGTTATCAGAGACAGTAATTTAAACTACCACCTCTTATACCCAGTCATTCCAGTGATGTTTTAATCTAACGGAACATTGCAAAAGAGCAAAAGAAAACAAGATTTGAGATGTTCATTAGCTTGATACAAGCTAATCTTAAACAAAATTTCATAGGCTAACTGTGCCAGATTGGTTTGCAGACAGTGAAATAAGCTACTGCAGTCAGCTGTGCACACCAGCAGTCTAGCAGATGGGCTGCAGTCTACATCCAGCCCAAAATGGTCTAGATACATCTCCCAGCAAATTTCTTCATTCTCTTTGATCACAGGAGCCACCGCACACTAATGAGATGCATGAACACCACAACTTTCAGCAACTCAAAGAGACATACCCAAATATCCACCATTTCCCTAGACAGAAAATGACACAGCAAGTAGTTGTTAACAGCAATAAACAGACACAGAAGGAACACAGCCATGTGGAATCCACTCACCCCCAGCTGAGCTACTGTTGTTCAAGACCAGACTAGGAAGGGAACAGACTGGCCTACTCATGCCTGAGTTTTCTGATGTAGTCCCATAAAAGCCCAGCTAAAATAGCACTTGCAGGCATTATCACTTGAGGGAGCACACAAAGCATTTGAGCAAGCTCATCTACATGTACGTACAAGAAGTTTTGAGAGGAAATTGAGAGGCAGAAGGAAAAAGGGTGCATGCTTTCTTTAAGCACAGCCTTACACATAGTTCCTTCTCTTTCCTCCTCCCTGTGCTAAAGAACTGGATGCATTAAACTGGTAACAATCATGTACATGATGTTACATGTGATGATGTATGCAAGAAAACAGGACTTAAAACATCTAAAGCTTGTTGATTCTACCCATTTGGTACACTGGGAAAGAGTTACAGACTCTTAATTTCAGCTCCAGTTCTCTCTGTCCTACCTGCAGAGAGACTATAACAGTATTTATTGTAGGGCACAAATTCTTTACCATCTCAAAGAGAAAATAACCATGCATAAACCTTCTGAAGTTCAAAACTAACCAGAGAAGGGAGACAACTCAAGGTTTCACAGCACCAGCTTTAGCTGGAAGAGACACAGCCTACCAAAGCAGGACTAGGATTACTGTTATTTGTGGAGAAAATTATGTCCACACCGTTACATTGTAATACATTCTAAAGATCAGCACAAAGCTAAACTAGGGAACAACTAAGAAATTAAACTATTGCAAAGAAAATTATACAGTTACTTCCCCCAAAAGAAAGCTAGCCATGGTTTCTTCAATTAGGAAAAAAAAATCTTTTGTATTCATAGCAAAAAAAAAAAAAAGCCCAACAAAACACCGAACTAGGCATTCTAGGTATTCTGAGAAATTATTTCCTTATTTCTATGAGCCTTTAAAAGCAAGTTACATTTTCAGGAGATTTAAGTCACTGCCTGAGGTAAACGTTTATAAAATTTAGTTTTTCTTTATCACCTATTAAATCTTGCATGCTTCATATTTGTACTCATTTATGTACTGTGTGACTCTAAACATAAAACCAAGAACCACCACCACTCCTTATGAAAGTAGAAGGAAACCTCATTTCTTTTCTTCAGCATATTTCTAAACGCATGAGTGATTTTCCACACATGAATGATTCCTACTTGGTTATCAAATTAGATTCAAGGGAAAAGTCAGTCTTCTCCATAACCAGCAGAGGGAAAAAGGGGAAGGAAAACATAATAATCAGCCTTCATTATTTTCCTGCTACTTATTACACTGTTTGGGATGTATGGCAATTATGAGGTTAGTGAGACAGAACAACCTTTTGTAGACAATCTTCAGGTCTCTCCATTCCAGGAAGCTGCACATTTTCGGTTTGCGGGCTAATACTGTTTGAACAAGTTCCCTTGTGATTTTCTTCTTTTCTTTGTCAGATAATGGGACATACCACTTCTGGAGTCTCAGTTTCCCCTGGCGACTAAAAAGCAACATAAACTGCATCTGTTGAATTAGAAGAAGGGGGGAAAAAAAAAAAAAAAAAAAAAAAGAATATCAGTCTCTCATTTCCAAAAAGACTTCCATGAGGAGAACCAAACAGGAAGCAAGACAGCCATGCCAAACCATATTTCTATAGCAGCAGCAGATGTTACACAAGATTTGGAAGTACTAGTAATACAAAGGATTCTGCCAAACAAGGTCAGTCAAAGCAAAGATAGTAGAAAGCGCACACAAGTTTCAGAAACAGATGTCAGAACCACCAGGTAGCAAGTGAATACACCCAAATTTCAAACAAACCATGTCCAGCACGGGTATGGTTGCATTTGCGTTTACTACAGAAAATGACAAAAGAACAGCACAGCAGTCTCCTCAAATACCCGAACTCATTTCCAATTCACCGGATTAGAGCCTTACAGCAGGAGCAATTTGCACTTAAGATCTTTCTGAAAAACCTCAGAATACTTTAAAAGGCATTAAATCTCCCAACGGAGAGTCCTACGGCATAGGAAAGCCTCGTCTTTTCTCACGTTACACAAAAGGAGTAGAGATTAAGTGCTTTCCCTGCGGTCCTCTGTTCCCGGTCTCGCTTCCTCTAAAGGAGTGATGTTGCAATTATATTTTAAGAGGAACTTGTCGACCGTCTTTTCCAGCAGCTCTAACATTGAAGGAAATGGCTTCCCCCCCCCCCCCCCCCCCCCTCCTTTTTGCTCAAAGTTGTATTGAGCTGAGGAAGTTTCCCAGGCAATATGACAGACGTGAAATACGATGAGAAAGCCCAGCCTGGTCCCGGGTGACAAGCACGACCAGCGCCAGCACAGACAAGAGGCGGCGGCGGCTCCGAAGCCCGGCGGTGCCGGGGCGCTCCCTCCGTTGGGGGCAGCCCTCCGAGCCGTCCCCACCGCCACGACACCCGCTGCTCCCGGCCGCCCGCCGCGGCTCCTCCCCACGGGGGAGCGGTCGCGGGCGACCCGAGACGCGCCGCCGGCTGCGCGGACGAGGGGCGGCCGCGGAGGCGCGGGCCCGCCGCGACCGCTCCCTCCCCTTCCCTCCGCCGGGCGAGGGGCAGCCGCCGCCCGTCCCAGCCCGGGGTGCGGAGCGGGAAGCGCTGCCGCCGGGGCTGCGTCCAGTTCGCCGCGGCCGGTCTGTACGCCGCCGGCCGCTCCCAGGGGCGGGCTGCAAGAGGAAGGGTCCTGCAACCCGGGGCGGGGGGAACACCTCCCCGCGTCCCGGCGCGCCCCACGGCGGAGCTCCGCGCCCCGGCGCGGTGAGGGAAGCGAGCCCGTCTCCACGCGGCTGTGCTCACCGTGCCCCGTGGGGGTGAGGAGGGAGAACGAAGAGGAGGAGGAAGAAGAAGAAGAAGAAGAGGAGGAGGAGGAGGCGGCGGCTCCGCTACCCAGGCGGCTGCTGCTGCTGCCGCCGCGGCTGCCGAACGGGACTGAGGGGAGGGGAGCTGCCGCCGGCTCGAGCTCGGCGCGAGCGCGCGCGCGCGCCTTAACGGCCACCACCGCCTTCCCCCCCCGCCTCGTCTCGGGCAGGTCGGGGCGGGGCGGGGCGGGGCGGGGCGGGGCGGGGCTCGCGGACGCCGCTCCCGGGCGGGGCAGTGAAGGGGGCGGGGCCCGCTGGCGCCGCCGTTTCCACCCCAACTCCCTCCACCCCTCCCAACCAAAACTTTATTAGCTCGTCGGGGGGGGCGGCCGCCTGATGAGCGCGTGCGCAGTGGCGCGAAATGGGGGGGGGGGGGGAGGGACCCGAAGGAGCTGTTCGCTACCTAATCGGGGAGCTCAGCGCAGCGGCGTGTGGGAGGAGCGAAGCGCGGTGCTAACCAATGGGTGGGAGAAAAGGGCGGCGGGGGCGGAGCTGGAGGCAGCGGTGGGAGGGGCTGAAGCAGGGGGCGGGGTTATCGGGCCTAATCCGCGTGGCTCCAATTAGGATAGGGCAGCAACCGGCGCGGCAACAGCCAACCAGGGAGCGCAAGGCAGCTAGCGGTCCCGCAAGCAGCCAATGGGCCGGCTCGGCAAGGAGTTGGGGAAATGACATCAGTCAATCAGGCGCCCGGAGATCGAAACTCCTCCTGCGACCTCCCGGGCCCCGAGGCGGGGCGGCCGGGCGGGGCCGCGCCTGCGCCGTGCGGTGTTGCCTTCGAGCACGTGCGCGCCCCGCGTGGGGGGCGAGGGGCGGGGTTGGGGTGTGGAGGCAGCGGGGCGCGGGGGGCGGCCGTTGGGCGGGAGGGAGGGTGTCCCCCTGAGGGGAGCTGGGACGGGCGGCAGGCACCGCGCTTCCCCGGGGAGTTTTTCCCCCTGAGTCACCTTGGTTGCGAGCGGTGATTAGATTCGCGGGATGAGCCGCCGCTGCCGCTGTGTCCTCAGCGGCGTTGCGCTTCGCAAATGCTTTGTTGTCACTCGTGTGCGGCTGAAGTTTCCTGTGCCACAATAGGGATTTCGGTGGGTTTTGTTTTGGTTTGGTTTTCTGTGTGTTTTTTGTTTGTTTGGTTTTGTTTTTTTTTTTAGTTCTAATGGAGGTAGACTGAAAATACATGGTGAAATTTTGGTTGAAAGAAATTTAGGGACGTGTCTCTTCAAGCAGAAGTTGGAGCACCTTAAAAGAATCTTTTAAGGACCCGGTGGTCTCTACATCATCCCCCCCCACCAGCACTGAAGGTGGCAGTAATTGGAAAAGATTAACCAGCTGATCTTTTAATGATGTAACACAGTGATTGACAGGGCGAGGGGAAAAAAGAATGTGCTCCCCTCCATACCTCTCCATAAGGAGTAGCTCCAAGCACTTTGGGATGTATATCACTTTTATTACTTTTTATTACTGTCACTTAAAAAAAAAAAAAAAAAAAAAAGCCTATTCTTCTGGCTACAAAATAGCTGTGGCAGCAGAAACCAGTGCTGGAAATGCTTTTGTGTAAAAATGGGGATGGTCTGAAAGGAAAGCCAATTTTCTGGCATTTCAAGGAATGCTATAATCAATTGTACTTGAGGAAAACTGCAGATATATTTCCCATTGTTATAATTGTAAATGAAAAGTGACTCGAGAACAAGGAGATGTGCATGAAACCGAAGTAAATAGATAAGGCAATTGCAATATTAGAGGTCATGTAGAAAGTGAGAACTGCTGTTCTTAGGGGCTTGTTCCTGTCATAGATCATGTTTGTTTAGCAGCCATCCTGTTCTCATTTGAACCTGCCTTTCATCAAACACAGGAACAGATGTGTATGGATCTGTTATCTCATAGGGTCTTTCCTTCTACCAGTGGAGTATTTTGCCCTCAGTAGTTGCCAGGAACTGCAGCACTGCTTGTTTCTTGTGAGGCTATTTCATGGTCTAAAACACCCTCTTGTTCAGAAAGCTTTCATAAACGATCTATTTCCTAGTCTACACTTTGCTGTTCTTGAATTTAGCATCCTGTATCCCATGAGTTCTCTGTTACGAGTGCATGCACATTTCAGGTGCTTCCAGATCTTCCAAATCATTATTTAATCCAGCAACCAACTTTTATTTCTCCTTGTGGGATCTACTTCCAGTATATTAGCATCATTATGGTAATGAGAGCTCAGAAAGGAATTTCTGAAGGAGTCGCACCAGACCTGTGTTATGATTTGTCACTTCCCAGCTCAGTGAAATATTTCTGCATGTGGATTAAACCACACATTCTACAAATGCTTAGCTGATTGAAATGAGGCAAACTACACAGATGGTTCAACAAACTTACGTATTTTAGTATCATAAAGACAAAGTCTCAAATCTCCACTGACTTTTTTTTTTTTTTTTTAATTTTGGATCCTGTATCTGTTTTAATTTTTTTTTGTCAGATTTCCAGCTTGGTTTCAGTTTATGGTTTCATCCAGTGATACAGGGACATTGTTCCACTGGTTTTCTCCCTCCTGTCCGTTACTTGGCTGGATTTCTTCAGACCTTAACCTGGAGTTTCTTAATTAAATCTCCTCCTGGTCGGAATCACTCTGCTGTATGCAGTTTCAGGTGGTATGTCAGGCGTGGTGGGAACTGTGTCTAGCCAGGTCTAGCTCAGCTGAAGCTTTCTGTCTTCCTCAGCCTCTCTCTGCCTCCACATCTCTGTTCCAGACGGAGGATGCAATTTTCTCAAGCCTGCCCGGATTGCCACTCATAGGATCATTCTTTAACTCATTTCGCTCAAAATGAGCCTGCTTATTTTAAGCAGTGTAGGGTACGATTCCATGGCAGTTTCAGATGATCTAAATCCCGACTTGTCCCGCCCCCTCCTCCCATTCCAGCTCTGTGTTCCCGTCTCTTTTCCTGTGCTGGCACTTTGCTGCGTCTCGCACAGGGCATTGCCAGCGAGGCTGCTTTGGGCTGTACAGGTGAGGATACGATAACCGAGTGAGTTGGTTTCAGGATCGAGTACCTCCGCTGGGAATGCAGCGACAAACAGAGGGAATGCTGTCCTTTCTGTCTGTGCTATTTGTTTCAGGGACTTCAGAAGACTTGCTGTTTGCATTTTTTTTTCAGTGTTTCAGTATTTATTAATTACCCCTCTTTATGCCAACTCCATAATCTGTTCCTGTAAGAAACTATCCTGTCACCCATTGAATTAACAATATACCGAACAAGCTGTAATTATCAAATTGATAAAGATACATATGATGCTTAAAACCGTAATATAATAGCCTTTGAGTATTCCACAAACCCATGACAATGCGAATGTCATGCAGTCTAATTTTAGACATGACACAATGAGGCTTCTGTTCATTAGCCTCTGTTTATTGTCTTATAACCAGCTTTAACAAGACGGATTTTAAAGAATGAGCTCAGTATTTTGATTTCTAAGCTATGAATGATAGCCCCCTGGTTTATTATGGATGGATTTTTTTTAACTGCTGTAGTTGTAAGATCCTTGGTATTACATTTTAGATGCAAGGCAAGTCTTCAGGGGATATATCCATTGACCATAAGACATTTGGGGTCCCCAGCCAAGAGTTTGCTCTCTATGTTATTTCCAGCATGACTTGAGACACAGAAGATAACTGCTTGGAGCTGGGGAGAGAGATAGGGTGGGATGAACGAAGCTTACATCAAAGAAGATTAAATTTGCTTGTGTTTGCCTGCTATGGTTTATGTCAATTCTGGAGGTTTTTGGTTGGTTTGTCGGTTGCTAGGGGTTTTTTGCCTGTTTGTTTTTTTAATTAGACTATAGTAGGTTTTTCTGGAATATTGGGTCTTGTAGCAAAATTAATAAGGCAAACACCCTGGAATTTGGCACTTCATGCATGGCGTTAGTGCCAAATCTGAAGCCCCTAAAATAATTTTGTTGTGTTTTTACTGATAGCCAAAATGATGGTTAAATCAAAAGTCCTTTATAACATGAACTCTTTATTAATTCCCATGAAAAAATTGTTTACTAAATTTTAACAGCGTATTTTGTGTTGTTTTGGTTTTTTGTTTTTTTTCTTCAGAAAAGCAACCTAGTATTTTGTAAAGAAAAGCTTTGCTCCTGCCTCTCATTCAACCATCTCAGCACCTTCAAGAGGAGGGCAACATACTTTCAAAGTGCACACTGTATCTTTGGAGGCCTCCACTAAAGTAGGCAGTGGATGTACGAGTGAGACTCATTTTATTGTTAATTTATCTTCTTGATGCTCAATATCAGACTCCATTTTCATTGACTGAATAACTGTGGAGTCATTATGAAGGCAATAAGAACTGAGTTACTAGCCTTGGAAGTGATTACTGCTAGATTTTTGCCTCTTAAGCCTCCAAACACGATGTTGCGTTATTATATGCAATTCTCTTCCCTGATGTACTGTCTGAGCATTGGCTAAACTATCAGTGTGCCACTGTGATTCATGCAGAACACTTAATCTCAGTGGAGCCAAAGTAAGTATACATGAGACTGTAAATGACAGTTTTCATTGCTGCGTTCCTTTTTTTTCACATGGAGCGCTCTTTCTTGATGAAATACTACTTAGTGCAATCTAGTAGCCTGATTGCTAGATGCTAGCAAATCATCAGATCATGCCTGGAACCTTTACATGCCTGTCTTTTCTGTGTAGAGGTTACAGGTTTGCCTGTGGAAGACTTCTGGACGTTGAAATTCTTTTAAAAACAATTGGTTTCTAACAGTCACATATATCTTTCCCTCAGGGACACGGATGTCAGGCCCACACGTGTGATAGGTACAGCTACAAAATGAGCATCACGGATGTTCACATTTGAGGTTGAATTTTCAGAGCTGAAGGAATAGTTTGAAGCTGAAGTGTAGTCTTACAGCCTGGATATGAGAATTACAGGGCCTGAACCATGGCTTACACATGTCATTTGCTTTGGAAAATAAAAACCTGCTTTTAAAAGTATCTGAATGTGCAGAAATGAAGGGAGTGTGCTAGTTGCCAGTCAGTGAGGGCTTCCTTTTATTTACCATGTTCATTAGCCTGAGCCTGATGCAAGGCACAGCAGCTGTTTGCGTAAGACAGTTGGTAGCATTGTGTGTGTTGGGCTGGTGAGCAGCAGATTTCTCTGTTTTACTTAGGTGTTCCTCTTCTCTTTCATTTTTCAGTGTTTATATTGGAGTAGTGCTCCAGGGCCCCAGAAATGAAGAAATTAACTGCTCTGCAGACATTTATGAAGAAATTGTCACACCACCGTAGTGCTCCTTCCTGCTCCACTGCTACAAGCTGTACCACAGTGCAGCAAAGAATTTAATGGTTTCTGAAGGAAGTGTGTGAGGAAACCTGGCTCTTCAGCCTCACCAGGTAGCTGTTGGGAAGAAGGGAGAGAGGGGAGGAAAGAGAGGAGGCTGGGATTTCTGAGATTGCATCCGTACTTTAAGGAGTTGTTGAATACAGCATCTCACATGTATCTTGCTCATCCTCTGGCACTCCTGAGAAAGCAGTAGCTGCCACTGCGGTTTGTGAAGTGGCTGATGCTGCAGGCTAAGCAGTATGTACTGGCTGGATCCATCCCCTCAGATGAAGAAGAACTTGGACAGGCTTGTGCAAAGCTGCTCAATTTTGCCTAGGACGAGGAATTTTTTTTTTAACATACCAGAACACAACTCTGGATGGGATGCCTGTGAAGTCAGACACATTCAGAGTAAAATAGCTTGTAGGTCTGACCACCCTAAATCCACCGAAGTCCTCACGTAGGCATACGTGTCCCCATCCGCCCTTGCCGTGAGACGTGCCTGGGGCAGGCACACCCACTGGGGCTTTCCAGCCACTGAAATGCAGCGGCCGCCAGTTCTTTTTGTGCCCTTAATTTTGTACCTTTATGGTGACTGGGGCCCTCAGCCAGTGGGAGCTGGTGTGACCATGTGTGACCACAGGCCAGGTTCAGCTGGGGTGCAGAGGGAGCCCCGCTGATGGATGGGTTGAGCCGGTCCTCTCCGGAGCAGCGAGGCTGCAGGCGGGGACCCTCCGCTTGGGTCAGGACACTGCCAAGGTCACTCCTCAAGCTTGAGAGCCCTCGCCATGTTGGGTGAGTGATTCTGCATTTTGGGTCATCGTTCTCAAGTTTAGCGATTCTGAAGTTGGCTGTGCGGTAATAGTAGTAGTTCCATTTGGCAGACACCTGAACCTGGAGTTTACTAACATTTGTCAGGGTGCTAAGCAATTTTTATTAGACTAAATCTCATCTCGAAGACCTGCCTCATCTATTTTGAGGGCCTCTGTGACAATGCCCGACTGATGATCCTGTGAAGCCTCTTGATCCAGCTGTGTGCAGAGCCTGGTCTAACATAACTCAGCAGGTGCTGCCTTTTGCACCAAGGAGATAATCCAGTTTCCTACTTCTGACTTTTGTAGATCGGCACGATGCTTTGCAAACCAGGACAGAAGATACAAACTTACATAGCGTGTGTCTTAATTTTCAGCAGATAGAAACTTTTCATGGAAACTTGGAAACTGATCTGAATATGAAATGGTAACCCAAAACTAAAATGTTCCATCTTATAATCAGACTCCTAAATCTCCCAAGCTTCCACACTGATCCTACAGTATTACACTAAGCTTTCATTTCATATCCTTCTGGAAAACTCAGTACAACTTCCTCTGTTTTTTAAAGAAAATTTATTACAAGATCTGCTTAGTTCTTTCCACTACCATAAAGGGACGACGCAGTCAGTAAAGCCTTCATTTATTGCCATTTTCTTTTCGGCTAAGTGTTTGAAAAGGATGAAACTGGGGCAGACGAAGGCCTGTAAACCATTTACTCCCTAATTTTAAAGGCTCAAGAAGAATTTATGTGATGCGTAGGTTTTATGCTGGCTGTGTCCACATGTGAGAAAATTCTATCCATATGGATTCTCGTTCAAGCTGTCTAGACCTCCTCTGTTGCCATTACTTTGTAAAACCTCTCTTTGCAGTGTCACCTTCGTCCTAACTTAAAGCTGCTAAACAGCGATTACAGCAAACATCTTTGCCAGGGGGGTGTGTACATCAGTTGGAAGAGTGTGTACCTGCAATCTCTAGGTTTTGAAGGATTTTGAAGAACTAAAGACCATGGGAAATGAGTGTGATAAGGCTCACTGTGAGATCTTATGGAAGAGGAATGAGATTTTATAAACAAAATCTCTGTAAAGAGCTGACTGTCTCCCTTTATGTTTTCACACTCATATACTCAGAAGCACCAAAATGTGTGTGTTCAGATGGTCTGGCCAAGATCACGTGTGTGATCGTACAGAGGATAAGGGTGCTGCTTAAGTCTTCCTTGTGCCTCTGGGTTTCTTGATTGACAGCTGGTTTTGGACTTGCTTTTTATACTTTCTAGGAGGGAATGATATTTGGGATACTCTGCACCACTATTTTGTTTCACCCTTCATGAATTCATGTATGTCTTGCCTTTGGGTGTTTTATGGCTCTGGACTTGTTCTTTGTCTTGTTTGATACCTTCTCTGAACATTTTGTTCCTATCAAATATAGTTAGAAGCCTGACCCAGTAAGCAGACCCCATTTACTCTCTGACTTTAGGATTCTGCCCTGTTTCACAGAGTCATTAGTGGAACAAAGCCAAAAGGACATTCAGTTACTTGCTGAAGTCTGAAAGGCCAGTATTTCAAAACTGCAGTGTGTGCTATTAACAAGGATGAATCCTTTGGCAATGTATCCTTTCTACTGCAAAATACTTGCCATGTGGAACTTAAGACCCTTATTACAAATTCATGAATGATTTTAATGCATCCTGGCAGCTTTCATAAGCATTGCAGTCATCTGGAAGCAAAAAAGATCATTGGCTTGTGCAAAATAATACAGCTATGCTCATATTTGATCTAGCTCTCTAGTGGGAAAGGAATACTTAAACTTTTTTAAAAAAAATAATCAGGAAACATTTCTACTATATTATATCTCACCAATCTATTTAGAAGTCATGTTCAATAAGAGATAATAACTCAATGCAGAGCATCAATAGAAGAAAAAAAGATGTCCAAAAGTGCACAGTCCTTGATGTGTTGGAGGAGTTGTAAAAACATGTTGTAAAATTTAACTACCAGTCATCAGAAAATAACAATCTAATAGGAAAATCTGACTATCAAGAAGTCCTTTCATTTCTTCATAATATTTTAAACACTTTCCCCAAAATGTGAGTTTCCCTTTGAGCACTCTTAACTTAAAGGTACTGTTGCAGAGACAAAGCTGTGGGAAAGGAAATCGGATATGAGAGTGAGCAGCTTTTATTTCCCTGGGGCACTGTGGTGCAAAATGATGTCAACAGGTAACTTCTACTGTGGTAGATGTTTGAAGGAATACCCAATAGCTGATTTTTAGTACAATTTTCATAATGTTATTTTTCCTAGTAAGCAGCTGTTCTGGAAATAAAAGAGATTACAAGACAGAGAAGCAGCATGCATGGGAGAGGATGCACTGAAGTGAGTCGTGTTCCAGAGCTGCAGTGTATAATACAGTCAACTCTGATGTAAGGCCAAAACTAAAGATTCAAACTTTCAAAATTCTGTCTCGTATTTCTATAGAGCCAAACACGGCCAAGCTTTGGGTAGGGCTCCTAAATGCTATCCAATCTCTTCCTTCTGTAGGTCGAACAGGTTTGTCCCACTTGCTCAGGTTTGCAAAAGGAACTCATGTAAAGAAAGCTTATAGTTAGTCTCTTCCCAGTTTGCCATGCAGAAGTTACAGTTTTACAGCTTGCTTTGCCACTGATAAATAATATCAATAAGAAGTAATAATAATCAGAATTAGGCATCCTCCCTCTCTGTTCAGTCATGAGTAATTTGCATTGAGGGGTACCAAAGAACAGCATAATGAAATCACCCTCAGGCAGCTAATAGTCTGAAGAAATCAAGTCTGTGCATAAACGACAAAAACAAACAAAACCAAAAAAAGACACCCATGCCTGAAACAGAGCAACAAACTGGGAAATATTTAGGTTGGTTTATATTTATTTACAAATGTTGGTAGCAGATGGTTACCAACATTTCATCAGTATGGCTGTTAAAGCAACTTAAAAGCTGTAGCAAACGGCACAATTTATGTAGCAGCTCGCCTTCTTTAGCCCACTCTTACTTGTGTTACTCAGAACAGCTGCCATTGCAATTTATCACACAGCTAAATAGCTAAAAAAGGAAATACATGCAAGTGCAAAACCAGGAAAGCAGCATGACTGTCCAAAACTAGGGATTGGTGGTTTCTCCATCACAGGTGCCTGTTTTGAGTGATAGTTCTGTGCACAAACAGTCATTTTCAGAAGATTTCTTCCTCTTCTAAGCACAGAGTGAACCTTGCTTATTAAAGTTTGTAGAGGCCACAGATGCAGACACGACCTTAGCTGCTAGGTAGGCATCATTTATCTCACCGTTCTCTTTTTAAGAGAGTATATTTAGCAGATGAACTAAACTAGTCTGCTTTTTTTTCCCCTCATTGGCATTTTATTTTCATGCAACATCCAAGCTGGCTAAGACAAGTTGATGACTGACAGATGAAGGTGGCTAGTCAAATAGATGACTACGATACATATTTTTTAAAAAATACTGTCTAAAAAAAATAAATAAATACAAATGGGGGTCTCCACTGAATTTTCCAAAAAGAAGGCCTCACACCTGAGAATGTCGCATCTAGAGTTGCCATACAGGATATACAGTTTTTGTACACCTGTCACTGAAACAGTTTAATTCAACTGGGCTCCTCTCTCTTGGATACCCAATTCTCTCACAAATTCAAGAAGAAAGTTGATGGCTTCATGGGCAGCTGGATGGAGCTATGTGTGATACCGAAGTGGAGATAGAAGAAAACATCAATTATCTCACCATAAAGGGGCTGGGCAATACAATGAGCCGTGATTTAAAAATGGAAACGCAAATGCTTGCTTTGTAAATATTTATCACAAATCAGACTTTCCTGTTTGAGCAAGTGATAAGGGACAGGGTAGTCTCTTGTTAAGGAGAATATTGGTGTAGATGGTCCAGAGAAGACGCTTCCACCACCACCATTTCACTGCCTGACTTGGCCTCACAGCCTGACCGGTGTCAGAAACCTCCAGCCAGCCAGAGTTCAAAGTGTGTGGGTGTGCGCGTTTGTGCCTGAGAAGGCATTACTGACTGTACGCTTGCAAGCTGAAAGAAGTACTGACTACATTCATTTGTTCCTTGCTGGGAAAATTCTGTGTACAGTGGCGATGCGACGGCATAAAAAACAGGTGGAGTCTGAACTGGAAACGGGTGTAGTTTCTGCTGATTTAATTGATTATATTAAAAATACTAAGAGACTGAGAAAAAATTCTTTTTTCCTTTCATATCTTTCATTTATATATAGTAAATGCTGAAAACAGCTTTAATGAGAGTGAGAATCTCCTTAGTTAGGAATTGTGTGCTTTTAAAAGATTCTTTCTGTGTAACTTGACGTGTTCCACAGCAAGTTTTATTTAAGACCAGGCTGTGCATGTTTAGATCCGATGCTTGCAGGGTATGCGCCCGCTGCCCGTTCCGCTGAGGTCCTCTCTCAGAGGTGAGCAGCTCTGAGCTTACACATTAGCCAAAGTGGGAGCGTTTCCATGCCACAGCGTGATGGATGCTCCCATTGCCTCATTGTTTCTGTACCCGCTCGTGTGTAGCGGAGCACGGAGCCGGTAGCTCTCTGCGGGCTGGGACCTGCCCTTGTGCCACCGGCGGGAGCCCTGGCATGGCCGGGGGTGACAGGGCTGGGGCCGGGGGTGCAGGGCTGGGGCCAGGGGTGACAGGGCTGGGGCCGGGGGTGACAGGGCTGGGGCCGGGGGTGCAGGGCTGGGGCCAGGGGTGACAGGGCTGGGGCCGGGGGTGACAGGGCTGGGGCCGGGGGTGCAGGGCTGGGGCCAGGGGTGACAGGGCTGGGGCCGGGGGTGACAGGGCTGGGGCCGGGGGTGCAGGGCTGGGGCCGGGGGTGCAGGGCTGGGTCCAGGGGTGACAGGGCTGGGGCCGGGGGTGACAGGGCTGGGGCCGGGGGTGCAGGGCTGGGGCCGGGGGTGCAGGGCTACTGGTGCTCCGGCTTGCACGGACCCTCGCTGCAGATCCGTCCAGTCCTCGAAACAGACAGGCGCTAAGTCGGTTTTGGGCCTTAAAGCAGCTCCAGACTGAAGTCACCAGACTGAGGAGTGGATGATGGATGGGTACAGGCTAAAAACTGGCTGAGAGCCCTGAATAACTCTCCGGTTTAGACATCACCATACTGGAGGAGACTTTGGCAGCATCTACGCTTGTCTTCCACCGAGCGCTGAATCATCCTGCTCAGCTGGGGTGAGCAGCACCTGGCCAGGGAAGGGATGCCAGGGAAGGATCCGCTGTGCCAGGGGGCTGCGCCTGGCTGGGGAGAGCTCTGGGACTCGAGGAGAGTTTTGGGGCTCGGGGCGCTCCTAGTTCTGGGCGCAGGCACAGCCACCCTCCCACCCGCGCAGGCCAGACGCCTCCGGAGCCAGACAGAGCCAGTCGTGCGGGGTCTGTCTGTGGGAAAAGGCAGATTTATGTGGTTGCTCTTTTCTCCCTGTGCTGCAGAGTGGAGCCAGTGCCTCACCATCTCTCGGGAAGCAGAAGCTGTGGGCCTTGCTGGTGGTGTATGCAACCGGTGCCGTTAGACTAGTCTTAGAAGTCGCTGGTAATGACATATTTAGGTTAGAGCAGATCACATTTTCATTAGCGGTGCTGCTTCTGGAGAGGAGCGCTGAGTAGTAATCATTATTATTGCTTTAGCAGATTGTATCTGTGCACAGCTGCCACCTGCCTCTCTCAATACTGCGCCGTGGAGGCAGCCCTGGTTTTAAATCCTAGTGGGTGACCTTATTATCAGTTCCATGTTTTCAAAGCCCACAGAAGCCTGGCCCCAAATTATACAATTTAGAAATAAATGCATTGGAGGGTTCCTTTTCCTTGCTGTTTGGCTTCTGTGTCTTTAGCATCCATACAGGTCTTTTTTATTTTTCTGTCTACAGCAGGCTGATTTTAGGTGCAGGAAAAAGGGAAGGAAGGGGGGAAAAGGACATGGAAGGATGGAAGAGAGGAAGGAAAAGCTGGAAGGAGGGGAAGAAGAAGGGAGAGAAGGGAAGGGGAAATGGGAAGAACAGCAAACAAGAAGAAGAAAAGAAAAATAATTTCTACAAAACAACACCAGGAACTGTGCCTTTAAGAAGAGTAACAGGTAAAATAAGTTTCACATAAAACCAGAGACTCTGTCAAGACTTGGCTCACTGAACAAGAGTGAAAGGCAAAGTCAATGAATATATTTTATCCAGCAATAGCTTGTCAGCTCAAAATTAACCATGCCAGCACAGGCATTAACAGGCTTGTAAAGCCACCCCATTCCCTCCTCATAAATTCTCTGGCTTGAATTAGTGAACTTGAGATTTCCTGTCCCCTCAGTACTCGTGATTCTTCGTACCCTAACCCACAGAAGTCCAGGTAATGGATTACCTCGGTGCTGAATTTTATTTTATTTGCTGAAGTAAGAGGTCTGGGATTTCAGTCTTTTACATTTGAGTGCTACCTTTACTTTCTGGGCTATTGGGTATGCAAGTGCAGACGGACAGAGTAACTCAGGATCTCTGGTTTCTCTAGCTGGCTGAGGGTCACAGAGGTGATATTTCAGAAAAGGAGTCAAGACAGTGGGGGATCCAGTAATAATTGTTTGGATGATGCTACAGAAATACAAAATGATTTTGGGGAAAACACAGTGCTCTGACCTTTATCTAGAGGACCAACCTCCCTAAGACCTGTCCAGACAGCCACTTGGATTGGCATGAAATATGGCATTGATTGTTTGGAAAGTGTGACTTTGGATCCTTGTGCTGTCTAAATCCCTACATCCACCAATTTAATAGAGATATACAAGTTTACACCACTGGCAAGTTTGTCCATGACTTTAATTTATAATCCAAAGCCTTTGTCACAAAACTGCAGAAAATTGCTCCAAAATGTGATCCTTGACACCAGGAACAGTGTCATTTAAATTCAAACTGTGGATTGTCTGCTGTCAAAGGTTTGTGGTATGCATTGCTTCCGTTTTAGACGTGTGTAGAAAGAATGGATTTTGTAGTTGAAAGCCTGATAATGCTGTTATCCTTGTTCAAGTTTTTTAGCACCATCTGTTCTTCCCAAGTAGAAATTCCTGACAAATCATTTGAGCAAAAACTTACTTTATTTCTCCATGCAGCAGATGAACCATTAGAATTACGGAAATCTGGTTGGGCAAAGAAATATGTTTATAAAATGATTGGTTTAAGTCTTTGTTGTCTGAGAAAATGACTTTTTAATGTACTGACAGCTGTCTCCCTCTGGCATGTTTTCAGATTAACAGTTTATGTTGGAGCCAGATCATTTGTTTCATAACTGGCTGTAGCATAACAAAGAGCACTTTTAAATCTCCAATCAGCCCACATATCACATAAATGTTATCTGCCCCAATTGGGATATTTTTCCAATCACTGTGTTTTCTTAATCGTGCATGAAAAATACATAAATAATATGGTCACACAATAATCCTTTTTTAAGTCACATAGATAAAAAAGTGAGTCGACTGAAGCATTTGGATATTTTTATTGGGTCATTTTCATTCAGAGTCAAGGGAGCTACACAGCACATTAATGCACTTATTTATTTGCTCAAATAATTCGATAGTGCTTATTTAAATCCTACCTAGAAAACAGGCATTATTGTTTTCTGATCTCTAGAGCTCCCAAAGCCCAGTGTGCTGGGCACTGTGCAAATACAGTCTGGATGCTTACAAGCTAAATCAGGGACTCATTTAAATGTCTTCATATCTCGCTTTCAGATATGAGAGCACTGGGTTTCATGGTCCGATCCCTCCATCTGTATCCAGTGGTGTCCAGCTGGGCCCAGGCTGATTTTGTGTGGGTGAGTGCAGAAGTCTGCACACCATTTGCTGTGAGCACTCCCCTCCCTTAAGCACCACACAGGACACCCTCACCACCACTTTGGAGCAGCACCAGCACCTTGGGTTGAAAACTGCAGTCTGAACACAGAAATCAAGTCGTAGCAGGGGCAGCTGGAAGTGAAACCGAGGGAAGTTCTCTTCATTTCCATCTAAAGTGCTCTTTTGACATAATTTTATCTCCTTAATGATACGTTGTAGACATAACGCAGAAACGGCAATATCAGACTATTATCTTTATTATTGGCAGTGTGGTGCTACCTTTCCTCGTTTCATAGTGAAAAGAGAAGATTACAGGCCAATTGATCAGTAACATATTCTGTGTACTGTAATGCCAGCAATATGCATTTGATAAGGACTCCTTAACATCGTTTTGAAGAGATGTTACTGATTTTACTAATTGATTAGATCCACTCAGTGTGGAACCAAAGCAATGCTCAACCATCTCTTCAAGGCTTAAATATGTTGTTTGTTACCAAACAAGAGCATTTGTACCCTCTCCTAAATCCCATTCTTCAAATAAATTTTGCAACCAAGGTGGGAAGGATCTACTGTAAGTAGAAGATTTTCTTGCTAACCAAATAGTGAATGTTACCAGTCTCTGGAGTATTTCTGAGACACATCTGTGTCTGTGATCTATCCCAAAGCTGTATAAATTCTGAACGGAAACATTTATTTTGTGTCACAATAATGTGCTTATGGACCATGTAAAACCAGAACAAACATAAAAACCTTTGCAAGCCTCATACCACAAATGAATAGATGCATAAGGAAGGAAAAACACAAGTTCTCTGTAGAAATAAGCATCTGGAAAAAACATCTGTAAGGGAAAATGTGTCTGGAGGATGGCTATCTGAGTAGTAGTCCATTCTGGTGAGCTCTGCTGGCACAGTGGCATTCAGTGTGGGCTTTTCTCCAAGTGTCAGGGGTTTGATGTAGCACAGGATGGAGCAATAGCTCTCCTGGGTGAAAACAGTGCAGAGGAGAAAAGCTGAAATTAAGCCATGGTAGTAGAAATAAAATAGTAATAATTCTGAGTGCAAATTTCTCAATAAATTTTATCTAAAAACCCCTCTTGATTCTGTGTTTTAAATTGTGGAAGCTCTTGCAAGATGCACTCAGCTCTGAAGTGTATCCTAAAGTATATTTTTTTGCAGCTACTCAGATGGCAATGGAGTGTCAGGAATGTCACATTAGGTGTGTGCAGATATGTAGTAGCATTCATGAGCTTCCATGATGACACAGGCTTTGTTGAAGCTCTCTGACTATAACAGAACTCAAATAAGTGATTGTTCTGAATAAATTGTCTACACTATTGTTTTCCCACTACAAACAAAACAGAGCCATTTTTAAACAGGCAGGATAAAAATGACACAGAATTCAATGTGTGAAAGAAAAGGACAATTTCAATTATATTTTCCCTGATATTTTCGGAACACTTCTCATAATGGTTTTTTTTTTTTTTTTTTTTTAATTGCATGGTTCTTTTGGTTCAAGAGCAGACAAGGCTTGGGAAAGTGTTGCCTCCCACTAATAAACATGGGAGTAGCGCACAATCATTCACTTCATGTTTTGGAACAAGGAGTCTCTTACGCAGCTACAAAAGGGGCAGAGCTTGGGAAAACTTTACTGTGGCATTTCTCCAAGCCACAGCTGAAGAGAACTGTGCTTTTGTTTATTAGACCTTGGATGTTAATTGCAGCAGGATACTTGTCCAATGCATTAGTGAAAGCCTTCAGTAAGACAAAGGTGCTGCAGCAGTCAATATTCACGGTTCAGCGGATGAGCTGAAGCCTCGGTATTTTACTGGGAACCATGGTGCTGTCTTCCTGATGAGCCATTGTGGTGGGTTCATGACCTCTCAGGGTCATTACAGATCCCACGTCAAATTTTGTGAAGAGGTGCTGTCAATCCAATACAGATGATAGCAGCCTGACTCCTGAAACTCTCCCTGCAGTTTCAGCCGGATGCAGCATTTTTGCTGTCTTAGCTTGTGATTTACAGAACATTTACAAGATATTTCACTTCAGAGCAAGCAAAACAGCAGCAGCAAGCAGGGCAGCGTGCCTGAGCAAGGAGTGATGTACTATGCGCCCTTAGAGGAACAGCCTTCAGGACTGTGGTTTACAAGACACTGTCTCGTCCAAATAGACCGATTTTTTGGGGCAATTTCACGGGCCACTCCACCCGCCTTGTAACACATCTGCTTTCTGCCCGTTTGCCCCCGCTCCCCTGCTCCCAGGGCTGCCTGTAATCCCGGCTGCCCCTGGCGTGGAGAGGCATGACTCGGGCCAGGAGGGAGATTTCAGGCAGCTCCTAGCCAGTGGGCAACCAGTTCTTCCCTGCTGCCTCCCTCATCACATGGCTCCTGCTTAAACCCCAGCCAAAACCAGAGGGTGGTGCATGCGCTGATGATGATGGTGGTGATGATCCCATGAAACAGAGGGCAGCCTGGAGCCCTACTGCCTCTCCTCTCCCTCTGCTCTGGGGACACGTCCCCTGGGGCACCGGGGTCCCCGGGCCACTGCTCGGGGAGAGGAAATGTCTGAGGCTGCAGAGGATCCACGCTCATTGAGTCCTTAATTAATACAGTGCTCTGAGACTGGAGATGTACTGCTTAATAGGGTACATAAGAAACAAAAGACATTTATGTTTGAAAGCCTCCTGTTTTAAACAGCAGCGTCAGCTAAAATGTGTGTGTTTTTAAATTTAGCTTTCGTACTGTGTCAGTTCCAGAGCCAGTCACATTTTCCCCATGGATATATTACTAAAGTAATTCTCAGCTGAACCCATAGCCTTATTTTGTGTCTCATCACTCTTTGGTAACTGGAAACATACCACAGATATTAGGTGTGTACTAGAAACGAAAAATTACAGAAAACGGTTGTCTCATCCTTGAGAATGACAAAGTATTTTGCTGTCAAGAAAATCAGCCACAGATTGTTTTTCAGAGTAACTCCCAATCAAAAGGTTCTCAAATCTGTTTTAATGATCAACCTTGTCTATAAAAGTCTCAAAGTGCCTGCATTATATTAATGTTGGATTCAGACAGATTTTTTGCAGCATTTTATTTTTAATTGCAGCAATTAAAAACATTAGATCAAAATGTTTATTGGGACCCATGAGTGGAGAAAACCGCAGTTTGGGTGGGGTGAGAGGAAGAGATGCTCGCTGCTCCGTGTTTTGTTACTCCAATCCTGTGCCATGCTGGGCAGCGTTATGAGCAAATGCCCTGTCTAAAATGGTTTTGGTTTACTGAAATGCCCATCACCGTTTCATTTTCTTTTCAGAAATGTTCTTGTCCATTACTGAATGTTACTGTGAGAACGAGATGCCATCTTGTGGTCAGATTTTCATCTCGCAAACCTGAGTTTGTTCTGAGAAACTAGTTAAATTATCCTTCCAGCTTGGGGATGCAAAATAATTAAACAAGCATTTTCAGCTTTCATTATAAACCCAAGTCCTCTACTAAGACCTACGGGCTTTTACAGTAAAAACTGGAGAGTTTTGAAGTAAAATTGTCTGCCGTTAATCAAAACCTAGAAATTGGCATTTGGAGATAATAATAATTTTTTAAGTTATCAAAACGAAATGCTGATATGTGCATTTTTTTTTTCCAAAGTCAAGCAAACATATTAATTTTGCAAAGTGTAATGATTTTGTGCAGCTGCTTGGAAAAAGGTGGTGCAAGCATTATTCAAGGGAAAGCTTATGTTTTCTGTAATTTAGTGTGATATAAATAGCTGTTAGGACTACCTCATATTTTCCACATTTCCTCACTTCTCAACCCTGGGTACAAAGCTGAGCAGTAAGAATACCAAAATGCAAAATCTGCCTGGAGTATAAAGCTTTTAGACTTTGGGAGCACTTAAATGTAGATTTTTGTCCAGTTGGTTATTCAAAAATTACCCATGAAGATACAATCTATTGCTTTTGATACGCTATTCCAAATGCTCTGGTATGTTTTGTGCAATATAAAGATCCACTTTCTTATAATAGCCTCTTCAGTAAATGAAGGAAACGCCAAGGTTATGATTGCAGAAATCTTTTAGCAATAGAGGATAACTGCCATCAAAATTTGTTCACAAGGGCTGTACCACAAGCTCTGGTGCAGGGCACTTTATAGGCAGAGCAATAGAGCCCTAATTGTGTCAGAGACAACTCCAGTCTCTGGAACAGCTGAGAAATGAAAGCAATAAAATGGATATGAAGCTGCTTTACCTCCAAACTCCTTTTGGGCTATGAGTTCAGTCCAGCTTGGTTTTAAAAAACAGTATTTGCATCTGTTGGACCCGCTCTCTGGGTACGGCTGTGCCCCGTCTACGTACAGACAGTGGCTGTGTTGCGGCTGTGTGGACTCACGGACATGCTGACTGTGCCCCTGTGTCTACACTCGTAAATGAAGCAGGCCCAGAAGCTCCCCTGGGCACCAGGACCGACGGCGGTGGGACAGCCCGTGTCAGTGCCAGTTCACCATCTGGCTTGTAGATGGAGGCGGCTGCTGTAGGCAGCGATGGGCACCCCGCTGCCTCCACTGCCAGGCTGTGCCTGGAAGCTGCTCCGGGGGAGCTCTAGCTCAGCCAAAATGGGGGGGCGAGGAGCAATTGGGGGTAGACATTCATGGTCCTGTGCTCAGGAACCTGCTTGGAGTGACTAGGATGGATGAGCATTGAGTAACAGAGGTGCTATGTATGTGGCTGGGGGAGGAACGGACCAACACAGGCTGTTGTTACAGGTTATTTATTTGTTATTTGACATAATACTGTATATTGCCCAGCAAAAGAAAGGAGCTGAGAAGCTTGCAAGATGAGGGAGGGAAGGAAAGCAAAGTCTCAGTGACGAGTAATGCCTGGCCAAAGCTGCCGAGCCAGCCCAGAGCAGTGCTGTGACCAAACCCCACCTTTGGGAAGGGGAACCCACAGCCGGGTCTCGGTGGTGCCGCTGGCCCGGTCAGCGCCCAGCCTTGCACCCCAACCAAGCGGAGGGATGCAGGGAGGTCTTGCCACCTCTGTGCTGTATCTGCCTCCCTGTGGGAAGGCGGGTGACCAGGGTGAGTTAGGAGAAGAGAGGAGCGAGGAGCTCTCCCAGGCCAGCCATGTAATAGCTCCAGCTGAAGCGTGCTGCCACGTCTTAACTGGTGTCAATTTGTGGAGGAACATAACGGAGTAAAGGTGCGAGAGTAAGCAGGGGATACAGTGAACAGAGAGACATACCGCTGCCAATTGATTTTTCTTTGGCAGCAAAGAGGCTTTTATTCTCACTGCATCACAATGAGGGCTTCAAAGCCCATTTAAGTGCCTGTTTGCCTTTCCTTTTACTCTGCATTGCAGCTGGCATGCCCAAGAAAAACAGCTTGTTCTGAATGCACATTAAGGCTTGGCCAGCGCGTGTGTGAAGCAGAAGGGATACACCACCATTTCACAGCCAGCAGGCATCGGGATCGGAGAAGGCAGTGGAGGGCACGACGGCGTTTCCCTTCCTCCCGGGCACGTCCTCATCTGTGTCAGCCGAAGCGCATCCATCAGCCCTGTGGGCTTTGCTCAGGCATGCAGCACCGAAAGGGATGGAGCTGCAATGCAATGCAAACTGCCAGAGCTGGTTATTGAGATCCGAGTGACCTGTTTCTGTATGGGTACTTCTGCTTACAAAGGTAGAATTTCTCTACATCCACATATTTATTTTAAAAATTTGACCAAGGAGGCATGAAATTTTGTACTGGATGTTGGTTCTTTTCTCTCTGCCCCCATTTATTTTTTTTTTTTTTTTTATTATTAACTGCTACACTGATTAACAATTAGGAAAAAAAAAATATGAAAGAGCATTTTTTCTTTCTTCGCAGGTGATCCATTTCCCTCCTCCCTGTATCTGCCAAACCTGACAAATAGCAGATAGAGCAGCACCGCATCCTGCCTCAGGTCAGCTTGGGAGCGCACACTGTGGCAAAGTCAATACAATCAGGAACCAAAGTATCTATAAACATCAGGGGTATGTTTGGTAGATTGTGGAGGTGAAAGGAACCCCTGTGTTCACGTGCTCTGGACTTCTGCATAAAGAGGATGTAGAGCTGTTCTCTGCAACCCGGATGACAGCCAGTTTAGAAAGACATTTAATTTAATTTTAAGAGCCTGTGCATTTCCCCTGATGAATCATTCCAGCTGATAATTTCCTTACTTCAAGGAAATTGTGTCCTATTTCAAGGCAGAGTTCAGCTTCTAGCTGCTGAATCCTGGTAAGATCCTGTCTGCAGGATGGAAGAGCCAGGGATGGAGTTGCTGTGCAGCTTTCCAGAGGAGGAAGAGGGAATGTGTGTCTGTTGTTCATGTATCACTAACAAAGCAAATACACAGGCCTGGCCAGTGCCGACAGAAGATTGCAACCCTATTAAGGTCCTCCTCCTCCCTCTTTCCCATGAATTCATGCCTGTAAAAGTAACCCCCCAAACCAGTGTCCTTTTCATGTGGAAATACCCATCTAAAATAATTGTAAGACCTCTTACCCTTTCTTGAACAATTTGAGTAACTCAATCCTTCTGCATCCTAAGAATACCCTCCCCATTCTGGGTCATCTTCTGTGTCCTTCCTTTGAATTCCTCCCTTCTGATACCCTCTCTGATGACAGACTATTCTAGCAGCAGTCTTACAATCACTGCATATGGAGGCAAGATCACTTTCCAGCTCTAGCCTGATATTTCTTCATATGTATTGATTTTCCTGTGTTACAGTGATTGCTAAACCCTTTCCTGACTCATTGCTTTCTGTGAGAAGCTGACATGGGTGCATGGACATATCTCTAGCAGGGTGGGTGAAAAGTCTCTCCAAAGACAGACTTGCTTTCAGCAGGACGATTGTCCCCAGGCCAGGTCTGGAGCTCATCTCATGCTGTGACATCCCCTGTCCTCCTTTGCCTGGTCACCCAGAGCAGTCAACGCAGGTTTTGGTCCCAGGTGGTCTATCCTACAGGTTGAGCTTATCAGATGTTTCTGCTGAAGTTTACATTTCTGCTTATCTCTGAATCCTGATAATCCTTCACTATGAGCTCAAACTTACATATTTATATTAGGAAGAAATTATTTTACGATGAGGGTGGTGAGACACTGGAACAGGCTGCCCAGGGAGGCTGTGAATGCTCCATCATTGGAAGTGTTCAAGGCCAGGTTGGACGGGGCTTTGAGCAACCATCTCTAGTTGAAGATATCCCTGCCCATGGCAGGGGAGTCAGACTACATGATGTTCGAAGATCCCCTCCAACCCAAACCATTCTGTGATTCTATGACATATGAAAAAATTGCATCAGCTATACTTAGTCACCTAGGAAGATTTTAGCAGTCCAAAAATGGAGAGAAATACTTAAATCTGAGTGCCACCAGCACATAGCAGCCTGAAGAACCAGCAGCCTCTTGTACTCAGGCACCAACCACGGCTGCTACGGAGGATTCCTGTGGCAAAATAACCTGTCTGAATACAGTCACTGAGCTTTTACCAGATTCAGCCCTGCTTACAGTTTAGTTTGTAGAAACTGGTCAGGACTATTTTGCAACTCTAACAGCATGGATGATACTAACAGGATGCTGCTGCAGCATCTCGGTAACTGTCTGAAATGACACTCATGGAAAGATCAAACAGCAGACAAAGATTGATTGAAAACTCACAAGGCCATCACCATCTGCCCCTATGCTAGAACCTACTTCTTGTTCCCACTAGTTAGATTTCCTGGGTAAAAAGCCATTACAAACTAGTTTTCATATTTTTTTGCCAAATAAAATTAAGAAAGTTGTTTGGTTTGTTTGGTATTTTTTTTTTTTTTTTAGATATGTTCAATAATGTGTATCTACAATGTTTTATAACTGCCAAATGTGGGAACAGTGCTAAGAACTGGGAAAGTTCCTCTTAATTCCACTTACTTTATGTTCTGACAAAAAAAAAAATCTGTCCATTTAGAATATTAAATAGGCATCCATTTTCCTGCTTTCACCTCAGAGGTATCGAAAAATATTGCACTGTCAGTTCTACTCAGACCCAGCATGAACGCCTCGCGTCTCACCATACCTGCTCACAGCCCAAGCTAATCCTTTCATAACACTTGTCTGTTAATATTTAACAGGCTCCAACACACACAGATTCAGTGACTAAAAATGTTGCTTATAAAGTAGTCCTGTAGTCAGATTCTTTTTTAGTTTCTAACACTTAATCATTGCCTTTGTGAAATATTTTTGATTACATAGAAATTCTGACATGACCTTAATACATCTTTCATAAAGAATTACTGCAGAAGCGACAAGTTAATTTTGTAGTGCAATATATGAAGACAGCAGTGATATATTATTGACAAAATTTAGTCACAAATAGGAGATAATTTTTCTACTAATATAATTTTATCTCCTCAGTTATTATTAATTTCTTTACTTCACAGTTATTCAGATATTTTATGCATATTTAATTATTGCTCTCCCCTAACTCCTGAATAAACATAATATATCTTTATCTATAAATAAAATATTATCTATATTCAGCAATTAAAGGAAAGCAACACCATTATGATTGTAAATAATTGAACAGTAGAATTTATTTCTTACAATAAGCCATGACCTAAAACCTAGGTAAAGAAAGTCTCAGACTCCTTTTCAAAATTTAAATAGACTTAAATAGTATATTTCTGTCAAGCACATAATTTAAATGCATCATCCTTATTAATTTTTTGGTCATCCATTGTAAAAGTGGTAATCTCAGTAAATTTGCTTGGTAATGCTGTAGACACTCCCATGTAGCTGCAGTGTAGGAATTGCACAATGTCCAAAATCTGACAATGCAAGCAGAATCACTCTGCTCTTCAGTGCATTTTTGCAAAAACAAAAGGCATTTTAGTTTATCTGCTTGTCATTTATGTGTCCCATTCAGTCCTTGAATCTGTAATGGGGCCTTTCTCTTTCTCCTATCTTGGAAGTGAGTGAACTGAAGAGTGGATACCTAAATTGCCTAAAAGTAATATGACAAACAAAGAGTGCAAGAATACATTTCTCCCACCTGCTGTTAGTGGGGAGGGTGAGTTATCACTCTAGCCCTTAAGATGAAGGACATACACAATACTGATGCATCCTCCTTTCTTCCACCCCCAGTATGTATGGACCCCATCCAATGCCTGGGTGGGAGAGGTGGGGTTCCCACTGTAGGACAGTTGGGCAAGAGATGGCTTCGTTTTTGGAGCCTTCCTGACTCCTCTGGCTGCCAGGTACTGCCATAGGCTGCTGTCCTGGGTTTGAGTGAATTATGGGTTGGTTTTTTTTGGTAGCAGGGGAGGGGGCTATAGGGGTGGCCCCCTGTGAGAAGCTTCTCAAGGCTCCCCAAGCTCCAAGTCAGCTCCACCTCTGCAGCAAGGCCAAGCCAATCAGCTACGCCTCTGCGATAACGTATTTAAGAAGGGACGTGGTGAGGAGGAGTTGGACTTGTGAGGAGGAGTTGCTGCAGCTGCATGAACACCAAGGTCAGTGGAGGAACGGAGGAAGAAAGGAGGGGGGAGGTGTGCCGGAGCAGAGACCCCCCTGTATCCTGTGGTGAGACGGCAGGGCGGCCCCCCCTGCCACCCATGGAGATCTACGGTGGAGCAGTGTCGTGATTTGAGCCTGGTCAGCAACCCTAACACCACGCAGCCACTCTCTCCCCCTTCTCTTCCAGCAATAAGAAGGGACAGAGAGCCAGGCCTGGGGTTCGAGATAGGACTGGGATGGGGAAAAATCACTCTTTATGGTCACGAGCAAAAGGCAGACTCATTAGGGGAAGAAAAAAAAAAAAAAAAGAACATAGATTTATTACAGACACTAACTACATGTAACAGAGTAGGACAGTGAGAAGCATTGCCACATCTTGAGAACACCTTCCCCCCCCCCCCCCCCCCTTCTTCCTGGGCTCCATTTTGCTCCTGATATCTCTACCTCCTCCCTCAGCGGCACAGGGGCAGGGAATGAGGGTTGCAGCCAGTGCTTCTGCTTCTTCCATCTTCGGTGGGGGGAGCTTCTGAAACTTCTTCGTCCTGCTCCATCGTGGTTCCCCTCTCACAGGAGACAGTCCTCCACAAACCCTCTCCGACATGAGTCCCCCCCATAGGCCACAGTATTCCCCACACTGCTCCAGTGTGGGACACCAACTTTCTCCAACTGGAGTCCCTCCCATGGCTGCATCCCTTCCCAAGCTGCCTTTTGCCCATGACCATAATGGGTGATTTGTCCCTCCCTGTCCTATCTCAAATCTGAAATCTGGCTTATTTTTCCCTTCTCATTGCTGGGAGGGAAGGGAGGAGTGAGCAGCTATGTGGTGCTCAGTTGTTCTCTGAGCTCAAACCACAATAGCTGCACTGTGTCACTTGGAGATCTGGTTTGAAAGCTATGCAGATCAAGAAGGACTACTTTTGACCATGATAAGCAAGATGTGAGGAGCCTTCTGGAAGCTGTGTGATAAAATCAAGAGGAGGAAAACTTGTGAAAAGTTTAAATTGATCAATGTCTACCTGATTCTACAGCTAGTGCAGCTGAGATGCTTGAGAGGCCACTGGTGGCCCTGTACCCAAGCCCAGGAGGCCACTAGCATGGATAGAGCAGTGTTATGACTGGGCTGGGAGTCACTCTGGCTGTGCTCACATCCATCCTGCTGCCAGCAGATGAGACTGAATGGTGCTATGGCAGTGCTGCAGGGGGCACCCACGTTTGTGCATTAGTTCAGCTCAGGGGTGAGCTTTTAAAGCAAATATCCCAGCCCAACACACTCCCCCTGCACATCGGTTCAGTGATCACAGAGCACTCTTGGGTTCCAGGGACTGGATTTTGTTGGGAAAACTGAAGGGGTGGAGATGCTTTAGGAGCACAGGAATGCGTTGCAGCCACAGATGGACATTTGGTTTACAAGGCTGGACTAGAGCTGGATATATGTGCCATGCAGGATGGGTATGGCATAGGCATCAGGTCTGCAGCACGACTGTTTCACTCTAGACACCTGCTCCTATTGACTCATGTTACCTGCTAATACAAAATCTCATTCAGCTTTCTGCCTGCCCACCCAAGCCCTTGCTGTCCCT